TTAGAAGCATTGAAAGTTACAGCTTGCAATTTTAAAAATTCAATTTTTTTTTCCACAAATTAAAATGGATGTTTCTTTTTGAGTTATACAACATTGTTTAAATTATATGCATAATAAATAAAGCAAATTTAAAAAATAAAAATTTTTTTATCATTATAAAAAATTAAATTATTTTATATTTGGAAAATTTTGTTCTCTTAGGTTAACATAATACATAACTAATGTGTAAAAATCTTCATTAATAACAAAAATAAATTCACAAATTACAATAAATACTTCCTTGTAATTTCAAGAAGCTTTACTATTACTAAAAAAAATTCTGTAAAGCTTTATTTGCAATTATAATTTAATATTAAATTATTAATATGAAATACTATCTTAAATTGTCTTCACTTATAATGTTTTATATGTAATTTCACACACAAAAATATATATGCAATATATAAAGTCTTATTTCTTCATTTAGGATCGAGCATTTCAAACCCACTAGCTTGGCATAAAGTTAAGATTCCATTGAAAGTATATCATGCAATGCAAATTAAAAATATGAAAAAACTTAATAGTACCCATATATTGTAGTATGCTATTTAAGATATTAGTTTTATGTAAATTATAAATAAATCTTGCCATAATATTGTGAAATGGTAAAAACATGTACAGTATGTAAATGAATAATAATTAGAAATATAAAACTACATCTTTTATGTCCATACTTTGATTATCAAATGCCAATTCATTACTCATGCCAATTAATTAGATTTCTTTTGGTCTTACTACCAGTTATTTAATACATCAATAAAACTCAAAAGCCATCTTTGACTTTATACAAAAAATTATAATACATACTATTTTAATATGAAATCAGAGGATGTAAAACTTACTTTTGGTAATAGTTAATCAAGTATAAATATATTCTAAGTGCTTGTAATAAATATCAAAAATGTGCCTTAAACTAAACTTAATAAAGATTAAATATGTTTATATACATATACTATATTTAGTAATTTGTTAATATGGAATTCGAGGAATGAATATTTTTATTTTTATTAAACATTACAATTATGTTATCTTGACTAGGAAAATTTTCATAACACATACTGTCCCTAGTTATAACATAGCCAGTTACTTTATGAATTCAGACACTACATATCTTTCTTCCATCACAAGTCTTAGCAGTCTCTTATATTAATATAATGCAGTATGTTGTTTGTAAAAATAGATGAAATTTATAAAATGTTGTTTATGTATACAATATATATTATACAAACAATATATTATAAATTTCATTTATCATCATACACACATACATAGTTACAAATTTGAGCCATGTTTTTGAAAGTGGTAAAAGCCCACTTTTGGAAAGAGTTAATAGTAGTTTTAGTGAGGCATAGATGTCCTCTTTCTATATTTATAACAACAAAGTCAATGGTGTACAATTATCCTCATAAATTAATCAAAAGAAGTTTAATTGTAAAACATGATCACAAGAATTTTTTTTTTTGAAAGTGAAATACAGTAAGTCCGTAATAATCACTGGTAATAATCCGTCACTCGTATTAATCAATAATTGAAACAACTTTCATAAAAGCCTTTATAATGGATAATAGCTAATGCTAAGTGTAAAGGATAACTAATAATAACAAATGTATTCATATTTATCTTAAATAATTATTAAAAGTAAATTACTTCATTATTTACAAATTCTTATAAAACTGAAAATATTTCTTAATAAGGTCAGTTATTTGTTTACTTACATGTTCTCATTTTAATTATTATTTTTTACATTAAAAAAATATATTTCAGAAAATCCAACTTCAATTAAAATATAAATCTAAAATTGTTATTGTTTAGTTTTCATAATTGGTTATTATTGAAAGTGATATAAGTCCATTTGTAGCTAAAAAGAATCATTTATTTTCTTTAACAATTTTATTAATTATTATTACATAATAAAATTTAACAAGTTTATAGTTTTAAAAACATTACCCTAATTTATCAATGTTTGCCAATAGTTTTTAGTTGATTCAAATGTAAACCCTTAAATATTTCAATGTATGAATAAATGGTCTTATAAATAATGGCTCATTTATATATGTGTTTAATCGTTTTAATGTAATGAATATTCATGACCATTCTTAACTTAAATGCATACTTCACATAACAAATTCATGGCATACAAAATTTCAAATTTTTTTTAGTTGCTTTATTTCATATCAATTTTTATTTTATTGTTGTCAAAAATAATGTACACACAACAGAGTTTTTCCATCTCAAAAATTTGATGAAATAATTAACTGACAGAGAATTAATAAATTTTAGACAATTAAATTATTATTTTAATCAAAAGCTAAAATAAAGAGCAGATTTCTTTCCTCAAATCTGCTTTATAACTAGGGAACAGTGTATAAAAATGAATTAGATTAAAGAAACAAAAAATATAATGTATTAAAACTTTCAATTCCTATAAATTCAAAACTTACCTGTAATTAATTATTATTATTAATATTAGTATATAATATAATGGAATATACTATAAATTAACATAATATCAATCTAATTTCAATTTTCTATCATTCTTATGGCACTGTGCAGTGTATAACTGTTTTATGAAAGTTAGAATTCTTTCAAAATGGCATATAAAGAATACAGTATAATAGGCAATTACTTATTGTGACACTGTCACAATGCCAGGCTGCAATTTTTAATAATATTTTTAATTTATTTAATTTAAACATCTGGTCTTGACTTTCATCTATATAACTTTGTTCTTGAGATTAAGGAAGGACAAAAAGATAGACACCAACAGGAATTTACAGGTCTGCAATTTGAAAATTGCAGAAAAAATAAAATAAGACATAACTTCTACGATGGACATTCTCTAACATTTAATAATCTTTGTTATGTTTAAAATTTTTGGGTCTAGATTATAAGATTAGAAAATTCTTAGAACTCAATAAAATTATAAAAAAATTATTTTAAGATAAAATCACTACATTCAACTTTTCATGTTCCAATTTATATAAAAATCAGCATGTTAAATTAAGTATAGTAACAATTATATTTTTAATAAAAAAATTATTTACAGAAAAAATTATATTTTTTCTTTGATATATATATAATCAAATTAATATATCAAAGTTTTTATTGGGGCACTTGATTTGATATTTATCAAAGAAAAAATTAAAATAATAATATTCAAATATGGAATGTTTTGTTCAATTGATAACTCCTAAATGTTTTTTGCTGTATAATATTTGAAAAGGAATCCAATTTTTATTAAAATCTTTGGATCTTAAAATATTTTTATCTGTAAATTTTTCTTATTTTCTTTTTGTTTAATACAAGATATAACACCCTATATACAGTATATTCTGATAAAAGTTCATGAGAATACAATTACTGTAATATTGATGCAATAATTTAAGAATATGCAATACTAAATACAGTAAATGAATAAAGTCATAACATTGTAATTTTACAGAAATCATTTACAATATCATGTCTCAGTTAAAACCTCATATAACAGATATTTTAAATTGAATTAGCTAATCAGTTTTAGGACAATATCTTTACATATCATTTATTTCTTTTTAAATAAATATTCCTTAAAAAAATTTATTCCATTAATAGTATATCTGCCAATAATAATCTAATGATTAATATTTAATCAAATAGTTAACAACAGAACTAAGGTTACACGTAGATAAAATAAACATCAACTATCAAAAACTTAGTGGATTTTTCAGATATATAAAGTAAAAATTTGGAACATTTTAAAATTAAACAGAAATAGCTGGAATAGTCAGAATTTACCTATTATTTCAACAGATACAGTTGAAATTTTTCCTTATTTGCAATGGCTAGGTAGATATTCTAACATATTGGTTATGGATTTACCAAAATGATCCTATCTTATTCAAAATTATATTAATTTTCTTTTCATTCTTTCAGAAAGTATATTGATCAATAAACATTTAAAGATTATCTGTTCCAATATATATATCAGTCTTTGGTACTTGATTATTTTCTTTTATTATAATGCTTTTGGCATTTATAGAAAGAATTTTATTTACACTATAGATTTGTACTCTACATCTCTATTACAAAATTTTACCACTGATGATTTTATGAAAAAATTATGTACTTTGCAACTTTAATCTTGTTAAAAAATTATTAATTCATACAGAGATAAAAAGCACTACCAGTAGTAATCATATAAACATTAGAATTATTAATAATAGAAATATCAATATTTATAACTGAACAATTGTAAATCATCTATCCAACATATTTTGAAATAGACCAACTATATTAGAAAATAGTAAAATTTTTATTTAATGAAGAATAAATATTGATTTTTAGATGTATTTGAATGTTATGATATTTAAATTATATTTTAATTGAAACAGTAAAAAAAAATTATAAAAATTTGACCATTTTTGATCAAGATACAAAGTATGGAATTAAAATTTTGAATTTGTTTGATGTTTAATAACATTGCAAATAATAATATAATGATGAATGTTATATAAAATTTATTGTACAATAAATCTTATATAGAATTATAAATCTATAATGAGAGCACATTCAAATTTTATCTATTTAAAATAAACTATTAGCAAATACAAACATCGATTAACCCAATTTTTCTATTAATGGCAAATGATTGATGGATTATATCAGGCTATATTAATGCTACTATTAATAATTAAATATCAAGCAATTTGGCCTAGAGGTAATTGTTAGGCACTATCTCTTTATAAATTTAATAATTATTATTAAATTAATATTTAATGATTGGAAGTAAGGTCCTGATAGTGTAATTGACAAATCATTTGCATAGCAAGTGGGAGTTGAAGATATGAATCCTGTTCCAAGTCAATTCTTTTCTTCCAGTATCTTCTAAATTATTAAATCCTTTAATTATAGTTAGTAAATTTATCAAGAGATAGCACATAATGCCAACCTCTAGGCCAAATTACTTGATATTTAATTATTAATATTAGCATTAATATAGTCTGATATAATCTGGCAATCATTTGGCATGAACTATTAGCTGTGTTTTTAAAAAAGAAAATTTTCATGTAAAAAATACTAAAGCCTAAATAATCAGATAAAGCTAAGATAACTGGCAAATGCTAGCTTTATAGAAGTCTTTTGATTAAAGCAAGCATCAATCTATTAATTTTGAACCTTATCTATATAAAGCATGCTTTATCCAAGCCACAAGTGGATAAAGCTGAAATTATCCAAAAACAGATAAAACAAGAAATAATAAAACTTAAAATTCAGGTTTTATCCACCTCATTTTGAATAAAACAAGAAAATTTGGGATTTCACTTTGTCCCACCATTTTATCTAGGGTATTTTTGGGAGAGAGTTTTCCTCTCCAAAGGTTAGAAATTCCTTCCCAAGCAGTCTAAATAGGCACTCATAAAATCATATATCCAATATAAAAATAAAGTTGAATACAATGAATATAGTTATTGAATATCTAAAATTATATCATTATAGTTTATCACCTAGAAGCAACGTTTATTAGAGCTTTATAACTAAATAACTTGCAAACAAACATTTAAAAGACTGTTTTTTCTCATTTAACCTGAGGATGGCCTATTGAATAGGCCAAAAACATTCGTTAGGTTTAAATAAATTGTCTTGGCAACTTAAGGTGTAGTTGGGTGGTCAATTATTTGCTGAGTGAGTTTTGTTAATTGCAAACAACTTTGCATACTGTTTAGCTGTATATACATTATAAGACAATGTATACTGGAAAAGTACATTGGAAAAATTTCAGTGTGCATTTATGAATAAAATAAAATGTTCCCATTATATTCTATTCTTTTTTCCCTCCTTTTCCCATACTTTTAGTTTCAGCTAATAGGTGCAAACATCACCCTTGGTCTAGATAAAACTGATTTTAGCCAGATAATTGGCAATCTTTCTGATGCAGGTTGGATGTATAAAAAAAAAGTTTTTAAAATAAACTAAAATTTATTATTTCTCTATTGCATAAAAAGGAAGTGAATGAAAATAAATGTCGCTACTTATTTCACCAAAATATCATCAAATTTAATTAAAAAACCATACTTTTAAAGCTAAAAACTGTATATTTAACTTTAAAGTAATAAAAAGAAGTATTTTGATTTACAGAATACTGACATGTATGTAGATTTTAAATGGTGTATCAGGTTGGTCATAGTATTAAACACAATGGAAAAAGTAAAATAATTATGAAAGATCTTCTAGTCAGGTTTTAATGTATTTTGCAATTTTTTTCAGATAATAGCCTCAAATAAAAGTAGTGGTAGAGTATGTTTTTACATGATCCTGTGTGTGTTTGAAAAGACTTTTAAGATCTATTTTTTGTTTGTTTTCAATTGTATTTATTAAATGTAATATAGTCCTGAATTTTACAAGTGTTTTTTGAAAAGTTCACCAGATTGAAAAAATTGTTGTCATGTCATCAATGGGGCTTGAAATATGGTGATAAGCTGTCAAACTTGACAACATTGCTCTGTTTCCATTATCCATGTATTGGCTAAAAAACAAAATACTCATGCCCATAAAAAGACAAATTATACATTCAGCTGTATTCAAATAGCAGTAGATAAACTGCCCATTATCTGGATAAAATCAAATTTTAAGTTTTATTCTTGTTTCTTCCATCCATTTTTGGATAATATCAGCTTTATCTACTTGTGACTTGGATAATGTTAGCATTAGCAGGATTTAGCCTAGCTTTATCCAATTTACAGGCTTTAAATGTAACATATATATATGTAAACAATGAAGTATTTGAATAAATTATGCTCATTAACATAATAGTTGAAAAAGTACTTTAAATACATATAAATTGCATTTTAAACTGACAATCTACAAATGAATCAGACTAAAATAAAATGCAACATTCTAAATAGTTTACAATATATTTGTCTCTCTCTGAAATTAATGCCACCTAATTCAAATATTGTTATATTTTTGATTATAAACAAATTTATTGGAACAATTCATAATTCATTATTATTTTTTAAATATTTTATCAAATTTTCAGCCAAATAATGATGCTGGTTTGACTTTGATTTGGAGCTTTGAGAGCCCATAACAGAATCCAAATTATGATAATCTGATTTCTTGCAGATAGCTAGGTGTGCTTAACTGCAGATGTCACAAATGCCCCATAGAATTCCATAAAATCATTCTGATCTTCCATCAGATTCTGCAGCAAATGAAAATTGATGGGATGCAGTTGAGGATAGATCCCATCAATTATCCCATGGACTTCCATGTGAGAAAGCTGTCACATAATTAATTCCTGCCTTTGACATTACCCTTGAATTAAACTTAAAATTACAAAATCAGAATGCAATTTTTGACTACACTTGAATTAAACTTAAAATTACAAAATCAAAATGCAATTTTTGACTACAAGAACACTCTGACTGAAGCACAGCAATGGCTTGTGAACTAATGTTAGACTATTAGGGAGGAGCTAAATTAAAGTGACTTGTCACACTGTCTATGCATGAATTCTTTGTTCTAGAACATCTTTAACTTATATAATAAATGTGTGAGTTATAATATGCTGACATGTAACTGCCTTGTGGGCACTAAGAGGACTTCTTTTAGCAAGCCCTTTATGGGTTCAGCCAGGCTCACAATGGGGTGGCTGGGTGGTGAGTGATGGGGCCAATATATCCAGTCAGACTATCTCCAAAATATTCCTGGGGATTTTTTGACATGTCTGGATTTGATCCCAGGTTCCCAGAGCAGTAAGCTGCCATCTCGACTGCTCAGCCATCAACATATGTAAGTTGAATAAATTTTTTGAGAAAAATGGAAAAAGATCAGTATTCAAAAAAAATTTGGAAAGAGTTTTGCTGTATTTTGAATGTTAGGAAGTGCACTCATTTGTTTATATTTTTACAATGCAAAGTTTTTGATTGACTTAACATGGGGATTCTATGAACTCCAATATCTCCCATTTGGTCTCCATCATGACACATCATTTTATTACTTCTATTAATGTGCAAAATTTCATTCATATTGGCTGGGTCATTACTTTGCAAAACATGTTTCAGCAATTTGTCAATTTGAGCTGCTACCAAGGAAGCTTGCTTGCTTCACTTGCTGTGCTTCAATAAAATTCTTTCTCATTATATGGTTAAACTATTAAAATCACACATTGTTTTGTTTGTCACTCTTCTTTCTGACTTACATTCATAAAATTTGGATGTAAAGATCACTTTATAAGTGTCTTTGATTTATTATGAATTCTGATCAGATAATCATATATAAATTGAAAGTGTAATCATTGAGAGTGTATTGAAATCAGAAAGACTGTTTTATCATATGTACTGTATCATTATGGTTACTCACCATACCAAAATTTATATATTTGGTGATTACAGTTATCAATTATTTTTACAAAATCCTTTAAAATGTTGAAACATGATCATAAATAGCTAAGATAAGATAAATCTCATAAGACACATCTATGTATAAAACATCAATTAACATGGAATGAATTTACAGTTATATTTAAATAAAGGAATTATTTATGTGCAAGTATATAAATATCCAACATATAACATAAAATTAATTCTTAATATATTTTAAGAATTATTGTTTATCTAAAAATGAAATACAAATTAATTTCAAGTATAAACATCCAAACTTGAGTTATATACGAAAGCCAAATGATTATGAATTATAACAGGCTATACTCTTGCTACTATTATTATTAAATGCCTCTAGTACCAAATTACTTAGCATTTAATTAATAATAATAGTACTAATTTTGGCTTTAATACAAATTAATTTCTTTTTTTATAACCTTGCAGATATTTAATGTACCAAAATGGAATATGTAAATAATATCAGTATAAGAAAAATAGATTTTTTTGTAATTTAATTCCCCTAAGTTTGTAACTAAACAATATTTTACAGAGTTTATAGCATTTTGAAATTCTATAACCAGTCTTTACTGCTATCTGAATTGTATATAAAAATTAACTATATGATATCTAAAAATTAAACACTGACATGTAATTTTTAAATTCAAATAATACAATAAATCAGTCAATATACTTATTATTTGATATATCTGTTAGCTGTTTAGTGTTCTCATTTAGATAAAGGAACTTATAAAGGAAATACTTTATGTTATGTTTTATACTTAATTAAATTTGTTTCATATAAAGCAGTTATGGATCTTATCTATTTACTAATAATTCTTCTAAACAATATCACTTATAACAATCTATAATCAACATCAAATCTCAAGAAATCAATAACTATTGTCTAGAAATTTATATTAAAATTATTGTAAAAATTTATATAAATATTTAATATTTTTAGTATTATTATCACAGTTGAATGCAGAGAAATTGCTTAATGGAATCTTCACTAGACTTCTTCATTATCAGAGATATTATCATCTTCCTGAAGCATTGGATTTAATTGTTCTGATGATTCTGTTCTTAATTCCATTAAAACTTTGTTTGGTAAAGGTGTAAAAACTCCTGTCAACAAACTTAAACTAATCCTAAGTATTTTAAAACAAAATTTTATTAATATTACTTATAAAAAAATTATAATTTAATCAATGTAACCATTAGATATGTTAAAAAACTTACCAGAGCTTACACATTGTATTTTGTATTTCAAATTCAAATAATAATAAACTCAAGCTTGCTGCCGTAATCTTTCAAAGAACAAAGTGATATTAGTACAGCAACATTAGTATAATAAACAAAGAATGTAGTAACATTTCTAAATTTCTAATTTAAATTACTTACTTTAGCCACCCCCATCAAATTGAGCCAATGTAGCTGATGATCATTTAATTTTAAAAAACATAATCCAAGTAAACAAGTTAAAATTCCACTGTAATTTATATAAAATAATTGTACATGTAAGATAAATATACAGAAAATTAATCTTAAATTAGTCTTTAAAAATAATTTAACATAATATATTATTTAAAATAATTTTAAAATTTTTTCAAATCAGAATATTTACAATTACTATTAATTTTAAATAAATCAGTTATATCAGATATTGTTAGCTATATACATGTTAATGGATCATTGCATGAAATAAAAGAGATGATACTATAAAGTACTTTTAAACTTACATTATTTTTGTTGAAAATCAATGATTAATCTAAAAAATTACTTATTTTGATAATTAAAAGATAGCAACAAGTACACTGATGATTATTATTTGTTGTTAATTGTGTGAAATTATATAAATTGATAAAAAATTCCACGTTTTAATGTGGAATTATTTTTGCTCAACTTGTGTATTTTTTAATCTCTGTAAAATATTATTTCAAAACTATTTTTTTATTTTACACTGCTGCTCAAAATATAAGTAACAAACAAGCAATTATTTACTGTGACATTTAAAATTGCAGCCCGAGTAAGTTTGAAAGATGGATTACAAATCACAGTATTCCATCCTATACTCTTTCAGAGCTCCAACAAGTCCTTATACAAGAATAGATATTACTAACATAAAACTAATCAACAATGTCATCATTAGCAAGAATTGCCTGCATTACAACTCAAGGTCTTCTCACAGGCCATTAGACAAAAGTCACACTAACACTGCAATGCTATATTTGGCTATCAAAGTGTAAAAACAACAACTCTTACATTTTTTCTTGAATCAGTTTATTCTTTCATAGGTGGTATACTTTGTCCACTCAGAGTCAAATAAGTCAATCCAATAAAATAGTTTTTGTTTTATCCAAAATAACATGTCTGTTACTTATTTTTTGAGCAGCAGTATACTGTATATTAAATTTTGGGATGTATTACTTGGTGAATGCTATATTGAGTAATAAGTAACACAGTTGCTATTTATTTAACATAACTTAAATATTCTTAAATGATTGAATTTGGAATACATTTTTCCCCCATTTTTTCATTTTATTGAAGCATATTTTACACTTAAAGCTTAATTATATAATATTAATTAGATACTGACTGACTTAAGACAGTTCATGCCTATTGATATACTTGAAAAGTATGTCTACAACACTATTCACATAATACAAGTATTCTTTGTTATATGTAATCCTACTTTATTCATTTTTGCTATAATATGATTTCAAAATATCAACATAGACAATAAATTAAATCACTACAGATTGCATTTTGAACTAGTCATTATATGTGAATATTACAATTCAATTAGAATTCAATTACTAAATGTGGAGCTGGTGTTGCAAGTTTTCAAATTTCTGCAGCTGTGAAAAATTGATGCATTATAAATTTATAGTATTTTGTTCTCTGAAGCTTTATTGAAATAAAAAAAATTTAAATTTTTATTATCTGTATAATAAAAACAATCCAGCAACATTAAAAAAGGAAATTATATGAACATCTCGAAACAATTAAAAATTCTTAAGTAATGAGGATTCATGGTAATATAAGCTTTAAAATGGATGATGATTGGATTTCTTGTTTTATTAATAATAAATAGGATTCATATAATATATTTTAATAAATTTTTAAATTAAAGTTTGCAGTGTAATGTTTTAATGTTTTTGTCAACCTCATAAGTTGCTGTGTCACATGTACTCACTATAAGAATATGTAAATATCATGTCAAGTAGTTTGTTATAATCTAAATATATATAATTACTTGTCCTGACTGACTGACTCATCATCACCCAGAGCAAACCGCTGAACCTAGAGGTAAAATTTGGTACACAGTCAGGGTACATCATTAAAACGCACACTAAGAAGGAATTTTTTCGAAATTCCCGTGGGAGAGAGGAAGAGGATTAAGGCTTAACCCGAAGAATGCCTTCTACTGTACTATTTTACATGCAATTTTTTGTTTTCAACTATGTCTAGTCTTCATTGAGTACTTAGGTGTATTAAATTGATAACATTTCAGACGTTGTTATAAATATTTTTATACATTTCGATTTTTTAACCAAATGTTTGAATGATTTTAAATTTGAATTTGTTATTGCATATTGGTTTGATTATAGAATGATTGTAAATGTTCCAGAAAATTGATCAAATTAAAATAGTTTGATTCTCAGCAATTCTCATCATTCTCAGTGGTAGGTGTTATATAACAATTACTATGGTTGTTGAAATACTGAATATAAATGGGGTCTGCTTGCAAAATCTGCGCAGGCAAAGTCACAGGTAACAGCTAGGTGATCTATAATATTGTTGAAATGGTTTAAAAAGTGTGGAAGTACTCTGGTTAAAGAATGCATTATTTTTTACAATAATATTATTATATTGCAAATTTAAATTTGTTATATTTCTACATATATTTTAGCATTCCTCAGTATTTTATATCTGTCATTATTGTATGAAGAGGGAAGTGAAATACCTCCAAAAATACAAATCACACTAAAATTAAATTTGGATGTCATATTTGATAATGAATATAAAGATAATGAATATGTCTACAATATAAAGGTCTTCTGACTCAATCATTGCTGTCCAAAAAATTAAGCAATAAAATGAGCTTAAATAAAGATTACTTTATTGCTTAATATTTTGTGGAACAAAGCTTAAATATGATAAATTGTTATGTGAAGTTTACAGTTTTATTTTTTAGATTGGTTGAGGCAAAGAGAATCAGAGTACTGTTGTACTGTACATTAATGCTAGCATTATTTTTTCTTTCTTGCAACTGGAGAGAAGCATTAAGAGAATTTTAAAAAAGGAAGAACAACAGAAGCAGAATGTATCAAATGAATCGTGTATTGGGAAAATTTATAATAAACCTGCTTGGGAAGCCATAATAGATAATGTCTCCAGCAAAGGTATCAGTAGCTGCTGGTTTGATCATCATTATATACCAGATCTTTTCTTCTAAACTTCTACAAATTAATAATTAGAAATTAATGATTTAATTAAAATTTTAGTACACTATGGTACTTCATCCTTCTAGTGAAAAATTATGTTAATTAATTGGTCTGTAAAAATGGACTTTTAATTTTGGTAATTCTTTGGTTAATTTGGATTTTTATTCTTGTCACAATTTTTTTTACAAAACAAAAGTGCATATCAGGCACTTAAAAAACTGTAATATACAAATAACTATAAAATACACAACAGTTTTTAATGGATACCTGATTTAATCCATTCTCAGTCACTGCTGCATCCCACATGTCCATGTGCAGTGATTGCTTTTTTGACTTTAATGTATATCATACCTTCAATGTGAACAATGCTATAGAAATTTTTATTTTAACGTCTCTGATATGTTCACTGCTGTTATATGTTTATTTCACTATTTTTCCAATAGATGGCTTTACATTACAGCCTTTTTTGGCAGGATAATTTAGTTTCATTTTGGAATCTGAAAACACAACTTGTTTCTGATAGTTTTTCTTTCAAACCAATTAGAATTTGGGAGAGGTTAAATTGTTAATGGATATTGATGATATTCACTATTTTAATGATTATGAAGAAAGTGAAATTCACTTATCTGAATCAGGTAATGAATCAGATGAATTATCTACTGATATTAGTGACAACAAATTGTCACTAATATCAGTAGGAACTAATTTTTGCATATTTTTCATCAAAATAAGTTGTATACCAAATATCAATGATAAAAAATTGACACTTTTTGGATGGTCAACCTGAAAAGAAAAAAAATGAGACTGTGAAGGAGTTAACAGCTAGACAGACATAGCAAAAAGCAAATACAATGAAAAACTAGACAAGAGGAATGGACCAACAGAGACAAACAAGCAAGACCTCAAATTATTTATTTATTTATTTATTTTTAAACATTAACTTACTCACTAACTAAACTAACCTACCATAACATAGGACAAACCCAACCAGATGACTAAAGCTAATAAACCCTAATCTAATTTAATGTAACCAGAAGCAAAGCTAAGAGTCCCTAATCTAACTTACAACTAGGACTAACTGAATTTATACCGAAAAAGAAGACAGAAAATAAGAATTAAAAAAGTTGAAAAGCAGCTATATACTGACAGTTGAAACAAAGCAAGGGAAAGCTAATTGCCATCCGTGCCCTCGGAGTGAGTGCTCTCAAGAACCCCACTAAGGGACATGAATGCAAGTAGATGACAGAACATTGTACACATGTGAATGAGTTGGTGCGGGTTGCGAGGCCAGTTGTACCCTTCCAGAATAGCAACTCTCATTAAACTATCCCTAATGTGATTGTACCTATTGCAGTGAAAAACTAAATGAAATGGTGTTTGGTCCTCTTGAATATCACAATCACATTGTGGATTGTCCCCAAGGTTAAATCTATGCAAGTATTGCTTAAAATTGGTGTCCTGTAAGTAACTAGGGTAAAAGTTGCTAAGAATCACAGTAGTGTCAACCTTGGGGATGAAAGTGTAGGTGAGCCTACCAGTGGTGTCATGGTCCCAGCTGTCTTGCCAGAGAATGAAGATTTGCTTCTTGACGTGATTGTTAATGTATGAGGTAGGAATGTAACTGAAAGTACTAGTGACTGAAGACTTTGCAGCTTGTTTGGCAAGATGGTCAACGGTAATAAATAAATACAGTGTCTACCAAGACTAGTTTATAATATTTATTAATTTTACATTGTTCCCTTAAGTTTTCAGAAAATAGTAGATGTGTGTACTATTACAGGGCAGTTGTTAAATTATTTCAAGGTTTAAGGATGAGATATAGTTACAATTCAAGGGTGGTCATTATCCAAATAAAACTGGTATAATACTATTGAAACTGTAAAAACTTTTCATGACAAAATTTACTATTTATTTTCTGTGTCTAATAAAATTTGAAATAAATAATATTTCAATATTCCATTTTATATAAATTTTTAAAAATTTTATCTTACCTGAATATAAAACTAATATAAAACTTTGCAATTTTTAATAATGGAAAATTATAAACTTTAAAAGCTTCACCTAAAGAAAAACACACAAAATTAATAACAATATGATAAAACAATTCTTAGTGGTGTCTTTAAGAAGTAAATGAAAAGTATTACCTAAAAAAAAACTTGTAGAACCTAAAACAATAACACTAAAAATAAAAAATAAATAAAATAAAAACTTTATTATTACAGTAATATTGAACTTTTTTACAAGAATAAACATACCTGAATATAAAACAACAATACAATTTTGGAAGTGCACTAAAAAGAAGAGAAGAATTTTAAAAGAAATGTATAAAATAAAAATTACATTTTATAACATTTTAAAAATAATACACAATTATATTATGAAGTGTAAATTGTAAACAGAAATAAAAAAAAAAATTAAAATTTGGATCTCAGGATGGATTAAATAAAAATAAAACAGTTTTAATTAAAAAATAGTCATTCAATTAATAATATCTTATGCAGTATGAAAAAATATATATATTAAAATGAAAGACAAATATTTGATTTTTGAAAAAAATAAACAATTTTAATCAGTCTATTTTTAAAAAACTATAGATATATCAGTTAACTTTTAAATGGGTATTGTCTTCCCAGCTAAAAAAATGCATAATTCTTATCTTTAGTTTCTCTGTTTATTATATTCTTCTTTTTTTAATTCCAAAAAGTATTTTTACTAAGTTTCATCTATTTATGATATTGCTTATTACTAATTTAACATAAAATATGGTTTCATTAAGCATTATGTTACAACAAAAAGTTCAAAAACATTTAAATATTTTAAACAAAAATTCCCTTAAAATCAGAAATAAATCTAAAACTATAACAAAAGCAGTATTCATTAAAACATATGTTTAAAAACATGTAATGATGATAACTGCTGAAAACTGTTTGCTAATTCAATCATGCTACACATAAAAATTATGCCAATTTTTTCCTATCACCTAGTTTTACCATACACTTTTTTATAGTAATTTTAACTGAATAGAAAATACCAGTTAAACCTTCTAAAATGTTTTGTTACCTATCAATATAAACCAGAAGAGTATATAGAAGGTATTTTTGTGGAATCAGATATAAGCAAATTAACAGATAAACATTTCAAAGAAATACTGTAAAACATATGATATGAAAGTTTATGAAATTAGGATAGATGAACTTAAACATTCATTTGAAAAATTCATCCAATTTTGGTTACTTGGAATAAGCAGTTTGTGTTTCCTTCTATTTCTTCCTTAAATATGGTGCTAAAGTTAATTTAATTTATAACTAAAGAATCATTTCTTGTATTCTAATTTAAAGCATTTTCATGATCATCTAGATCAGCGATTCCCAACCTGTGGTACGCGTACCCCTAGGGGTACGCGATAGGTTGTTTAGGGGTACAGAAAGAAGTTAGTTATTATGGCAGAAAAAATAATATATTATGTATCACAAACTAATAGTATTAAAAAATTATTAGATAAAAAATGTTTCTTGCAACAATCACAACTTTATTATACATTTTTTCTTTTAGGTTTTTTTTCTTTAATTTAAAGTTACAATATGTAAAATTAACAATACGGTTACTCACTAAATTTCTTAAATGAGGGGTACAATCTAGAGATATGACATGTCACGGGGTACGCTAATGAAAAAAGGTTGGGAACCACTGATCTAGATGAAATGAATGAAAAGAAAAATGAACAATTTCAACAAGATATAAAATAAATATAACAAAAATACAAAGAATACTGGAAAACAAGATAATGGTTGATTGTTAAAACAGAAAGAATAGAAGAAAGAAGTAAGATGAAATTTACAAAATAGTTTACAAAGCCAAAAAAATATGATATTTTTCAACAAAGATTGACAAAGCTAATTGAATTTACTTGAAATTTGGTTCTAATTTTATACTCTATTTTCAATGCATTTCCCTGAAATAAATTTTTAATAAATAAAGAAGATTTCATTACACATTTTAAAACTTGAAAACAGAAATATCACTTTAGAATAACATATGAGTTTTTATTTCCATTGACAATGAAGAAGTCTATTATAATGAAAAAAAAAAATGGACATTTATAATTAAACACTTAAATTTGCACAGTATAATTATTACATAAAAAATCATACATAAATCACAAACTCTGTCAACAAGTCTACAAATTGAGACTTATTGACAGAGACTTTGATATTACCAAACTAGGGATTAGCAATAATATTTGAAATATAAATGATAAATATAACAATTGAGAAAATAAAAGCATCTCATAATGAAAAGTAACAAAGTTAAATCATACAAAATGATTATGATATGACTTCATTAAATTTGTTTTAATTCAATTGATATAAATACATTTTTTGCTAAAATTTACTAATTAACATATGTCAATTTTTATATGATACTATTGGGTATGTCATTTCATTGAATGTTGATTGAACTAATTTAACAAGATTTGTTAATGGCTTTTTTTTGTCAGAATGCAAATTAAAATCACATTTTCAGCATAGTAGAGTTCAGAAGTCACCAAATTTTTTTACAGAGGGCCAGATAACAGGGAATGACGAATGTGGGCTATATAACCATTTTGTTCAATACAACATACTAAAAAAAAAAATAAAATAATGCCTGCAGCAAACTCGCAATCGCTTTCCTTAAAAATTTCATTGCAGGTACAGTAAGACCCCGCTTAATGCTGATTCGATATAACGTGGTCTGCTCAAAGCCTACAAAAAACTCAAAATTTATGCTGATTTAAATTATTGTGGCATTTCATTGATTCGTATATAATATGATTACTTGCAAACACAAACCAATTAGCAAAAGGTGACAAAACAGGTGTACTTTCTTTAACTCTATGTTTGTTTGGTGCAATTTTGGAAAAAATATAAAATCATGGATGCCATAGGAAATATTGGCTTTGCTTGGCAAGAATTAACTGATAAATGCACGAACGAAGTGTGGAAGAAGTTATGGCTGAAGCTATCCAAGAATTCTCAACAAGAAGAGCCTATCGCTGTATTGTTAGGTTGATCAAACTTAACCTAATCGATATAGCAGGACTAGGAGATGTAGATGAACAGAATATTGAAGAGTTACCGCAGGTTTTCTGGTGAGAACCTTACCAATGACTTCAAGAACTGGCAGAATAAGAAACCCATGTAGAACTGAAAAACAGTGATTCTGAAAATGAAGAACCCAAAAAATTTCTCTACAGATTTCCTTAGTAAAAGTTTGGTAAGATAACTGAAATTGTTGATCAAACTGTAGCAAATGATCCAGATTTTGAAAGGAGTGCAAAAGCAAAATGGGGCATTTTGGATGCGATCGTCTGCTACCAACATTTGCTTAAGGAAAGAAAAAAGCAACAAATGAAACTTCACAATTTTATCACAAAAGAACAAGAATTTCAGAAAAGCCAGGACCTTCATCACAAAAAATGAACTTTACATTTCTGTGTGCATATGTTTGTGTGTTATTTAACATATATTATTATACAAGTTAATATAAAAATAACTTGAAATTAAAGTAAAATTTGTTTATTTTTGGTCGCGTGTTCCCCTATCCCTATCCCTATGTTAAAATGACCTCATTTAACACTGTTTCGCTTAGCGCTTTGTTGTTTAGGAATGCATCCCCCCATGTTAAATGGGATCTTACTGTACTTATACAAAAAGTGCTCTGATATCTAAAGTCACAAAATGTCACTGAATTTTTTATTTCACTGATTTTCCTAAAAATTTTATTACTGTCTAATACAAAAATCAGATTGGACCAATTTTGACATTTTTACTTACACTTATTTTAGGTTTTTTTACACTATAAGTTCATCTATAATCTATGATATTTCCATATAAATAATTGAATTTTAGCTCATTTGTGGCATAGTGCAGCAAACAGGCTGGATGAACTGACCTCGCAAGCCAGATCTGGCCCACGGGCTGTAGTTTGGTGACCCCTGGTACACTTTCCAAAAAATGCTATTAAAACCTATTTGATCATAACATATGTGACAAGTTACATAATTAAATATATTTTTTTATGTATTAATTTCTTAACTAAAGTTTATTAGCATAATTTCTTATATAAAACTATAAAATTATTAATTAGTGAATGAAATATTTAAAATTAGTACTGTAGCTAATTAGACAACAATAGAAAAAAATAAGAGATACAATAACATTAATTTAAAAATACAAAATACATTATCTAAACTATTTAAATTTTTTTAATGCATTGTATTTATTTAAACAGTACCATCAACTAATTTTAAGGACAACACAAAATACTAAGCTAATAAAAAAATTGGTGAATATCAATTTAAAAGTTTATTGATTTAAATCATAATGAATAAAATGATTAATTTATATTTTAAAATTAAAGTTACTCACTTTTCTTCAGAATAAGATTTATCTAATTGATCCAAAAATACTAAAACTCCTAAAATACAGAAAACAACTTTTATTGAACATAAAATTCCTTCTAAGATTTTTTTATGCAATAAATTAAACACCTTCTATAAAGATCTTTTATTATAATATGTTAATAGAATATTCAATTAAATTTATTGCTTTTCTCCCAAAGCTGCAATAGATATATATTATATATATATATATATAAATTAAATATTCTACAATTTACAGAATGTAGACTATAAAATTGTATATTTTACATTCTGTAAATTGAAATTGAAGATAATTTAGAATTAGAGAAAAAAGTCAGATGGCTTCCATCAGAGATAAATCATTCTGACTATAAATTTTGAGATTTATTATTTTCCTTTAAATAAATCAAAAATTATTGTCATAGTAAAAACATATCACAAGATCTCACCTGATGATATAAGATGCAGTATCATCCAAAAGAGAGCTCCTCTAAATTCCTGTAACAAGACATGCATACATAAATTGACTATCAATTATAGTGCATACAGAATAGTATAATATAAAATTTTGTCTATAAGCTAGAAAATAAAAACATGTAATAAATGAGAAAAAAAAATTAAGATAGAAAATGCAATTAGTAAAATGTATATTGAAAAGATTAATTAAATATCTAGCTGCTTCTAGCAAATAAAAAGATGATCCAGCTACTAATCAAGTTCATTGTAAGTATTTTTCAATTATAATTTAAAATTCCTTTATATTTATTACAAAACTAACAATCTAAGTGATTTTATTTTAATTTTTTGCATTACTGTATTATATAAATAATTTCAAAATCTTTTGTTTGAAAATGAAAAATACAGAAAAGTCATTCTGATTTTATATCTATGGATATCACAACTTTCTTTCTAAAATTAAAAATATATGAAACTGATTGTAAACATCAATTAAATCAACAATTCAACTGCAAAGAAATTAAAATACAATCTGTTAGAAAAAATAAAATAAGTTCATTTTCTATAAAACTGATTTTTGGAGGACGTTTAAACATTTAATCAATGATATAAATAAACTACATATTTTCAATTTAAAAACGTAATGTTTTATTTGTTGAAATTATTAGAAAATCTATGTCTTTTAGATTGATGTCAAGCTTATCAAAACAAAAATCAGGTTTTTCTTTAACAGATTATAATTTTAAATTTTTTCTTAATTAAATTATTAGCAAAACAACTATTTTCTGCACTTAATTCTACACACTTTGTAATTTAAAAAAAACTTATAATATCTGTAAATATCAACACAAGTTCCCATTAATATCCAAGAATAATAAATGAAAATGGCTAATAATTTGTGTTTGGAAATAAAAAGATATAATTATCACATTGATTTAGCTATACTTTTTATTTTCAAACAATTATTATTATAATCATTTCCACTTATTTTTTTTGTGATGTTGTTATATATCATGATACATTGCATATTTATTAGCCAAACACATATACAACATATTCTCTATCCTAAGATCTGTTTACATGGAATTAACAACATAACTACTATATATATAGATAGTAGATATCATTTTCAATTATACATAATTAATATCTACAAGATTACAACTATAAATTTCAGTTACCTTTAATGATGTAGAAAGTACCATAGTGGTACTCAATGCTATTATTGTCAAAGGTATTATTATTGAAATAACATTTGAACTTTTCTCACATTCCTAAAAATGAAAATGTAATTAGATTTTTAAGCAGTATCTTAATAGAGTATTATAAATGAAAATAATTTTATGTAGTATGAATTTATTTTAAAAATTCATAATTACCAAACGCCTTGCCCAAAGATCAGCAACATGTTGAAATAAAAAAACTATATTATGTAAAGAAAGAAAAATTGGTATATGCTGTAAAAACAAAGTAAAAACATTTTTTAAAATATAATTTTTTAATTTATAATTTCAAAATTCTAACTTATTTATATCATTTTTAACAATATCACTAAAAGATTCATTATAATTATGAAATATTAAACAGAAATATTATTAACAGTTATGTTATAGAAAATATAATGTTTTAGAATTTTCAATGTTTTTCAATTTTCAATGCTTAGCATATTTTATTCTTGTAATAATACAAATGTGTTATTGATTTGATTTTGTGTGTTAAGTTTCTATATATTCTAATTTTTAATAATTTTAATATAATTTTGAAAATTAAAGGTATCTATTACATTATTACAGAATAACAAAATATAATTCATACTTTTTATAAAAAATTTTATATTTAAAATACAATGGTAATATAATAATATCTTTATGAAATAAAATTTGAAATATTTTAAAATTTAACTTTTAAAACAATTAATGCATTAAGATACTAAGCAATTTGAACTACATGTAGGTATTTAAGTCATCACCCCTCATTAAATTTAAATCATCACAATTAATAGTAAGTAATGNGGGAAAGCTAATTGCCATCCGTGCCCTCGGAGTGAGTGCTCTCAAGAACCCCACTAAGGGACATGAATGCAAGTAGATGACAGAACATTGTACACATGTGAATGAGTTGGTGCGGGTTGCGAGGCCAGTTGTACCCTTCCAGAATAGCAACTCTCATTAAACTATCCCTAATGTGATTGTACCTATTGCAGTGAAAAACTAAACGAAATGGTGTTTGGTCCTCTTGAATATCACAATCACATTGTGGATTGTCCCCAAGGTTAAATCTATGCAAGTATTGCTTAAAATTGGTGTCCTGTAAGTAACTAGGGTAAAAGTTGCTAAGAATCACAGTAGTGTCAACCTTGGGGATGAAAGTGTAGGTGAGCCTACCAGTGGTGTCATGGTCCCAGCTGTCTTGCCAGAGAATGAAGATTTGCTTCTTGACGTGATTGTTAATGTATGAGGTAGGAATGTAACTGAAAGTACTAGTGACTGAAGACTTTGCAGCTTGTTTGGCAAGATGGTCAACGGTAATAAATAAATACAGTGTCTACCAAGACTAGTTTATAATATTTATTAATTTTACATTGTTCCCTTAAGTTTTCAGAAAATAGTAGATGTGTGTACTATTACAGGGCAGTTGTTAAATTATTTCAAGGTTTAAGGATGAGATATAGTTACAATTCAAGGGTGGTCATTATCCAAATAAAACTGGTATAATACTATTGAAACTGTAAAAACTTTTCATGACAAAATTTACTATTTATTTTCTGTGTCTAATAAAATTTGAAATAAATAATATTTCAATATTCCATTTTATATAAATTTTTAAAAATTTTATCTTACCTGAATATAAAACTAATATAAAACTTTGCAATTTTTAATAATGGAAAATTATAAACTTTAAAAGCTTCACCTAAAGAAAAACACACAAAATTAATAACAATATGATAAAACAATTCTTAGTGGTGTCTTTAAGAAGTAAATGAAAAGTATTACCTAAAAAAAAACTTGTAGAACCTAAAACAATAACACTAAAAATAAAAAATAAATAAAATAAAAACTTTATTATTACAGTAATATTGAACTTTTTTACAAGAATAAACATACCTGAATATAAAACTAATATAAAACTTTGCAATTTTTAATAATGGAAAATTATAAACTTTAAAAGCTTCACCTAAAGAAAAACACACAAAATTAATAACAATATGATAAAACAATTCTTAGTGGTGTCTTTAAGAAGTAAATGAAAAGTATTACCTAAAAAAAAACTTGTAGAACCTAAAACAATAACACTAAAAATAAAAAATAAATAAAATAAAAACTTTATTATTACAGTAATATTGAACTTTTTTACAAGAATAAACATACCTGAATATAAAACAACAATACAATTTTGGAAGTGCACTAAAAAGAAGAGAAGAATTTTAAAAGAAATGTATAAAATAAAAATTACATTTTATAACATTTTAAAAATAATACACAATTATATTATGAAGTGTAAATTGTAAACAGAAATAAAAAAAAAAATTAAAATTTGGATCTCAGGATGGATTAAATAAAAATAAAACAGTTTTAATTAAAAAATAGTCATTCAATTAATAATATCTTATGCAGTATGAAAAAATATATATATTAAAATGAAAGACAAATATTTGATTTTTGAAAAAAATAAACAATTTTAATCAGTCTATTTTTAAAAAACTATAGATATATCAGTTAACTTTTAAATGGGTATTGTCTTCCCAGCTAAAAAAATGCATAATTCTTATCTTTAGTTTCTCTGTTTATTATATTCTTCTTTTTTTAATTCCAAAAAGTATTTTTACTAAGTTTCATCTATTTATGATATTGCTTATTACTAATTTAACATAAAATATGGTTTCATTAAGCATTATGTTACAACAAAAAGTTCAAAAACATTTAAATATTTTAAACAAAAATTCCCTTAAAATCAGAAATAAATCTAAAACTATAACAAAAGCAGTATTCATTAAAACATATGTTTAAAAACATGTAATGATGATAACTGCTGAAAACTGTTTGCTAATTCAATCATGCTACACATAAAAATTATGCCAATTTTTTCCTATCACCTAGTTTTACCATACACTTTTTTATAGTAATTTTAACTGAATAGAAAATACCAGTTAAACCTTCTAAAATGTTTTGTTACCTATCAATATAAACCAGAAGAGTATATAGAAGGTATTTTTGTGGAATCAGATATAAGCAAATTAACAGATAAACATTTCAAAGAAATACTGTAAAACATATGATATGAAAGTTTATGAAATTAGGATAGATGAACTTAAACATTCATTTGAAAAATTCATCCAATTTTGGTTACTTGGAATAAGCAGTTTGTGTTTCCTTCTATTTCTTCCTTAAATATGGTGCTAAAGTTAATTTAATTTATAACTAAAGAATCATTTCTTGTATTCTAATTTAAAGCATTTTCATGATCATCTAGATCAGCGATTCCCAACCTGTGGTACGCGTACCCCTAGGGGTACGCGATAGGTTGTTTAGGGGTACAGAAAGAAGTTAGTTATTATGGCAGAAAAAATAATATATTATGTATCACAAACTAATAGTATTAAAAAATTATTAGATAAAAAATGTTTCTTGCAACAATCACAACTTTATTATACATTTTTTCTTTTAGGTTTTTTTTCTTTAATTTAAAGTTACAATATGTAAAATTAACAATACGGTTACTCACTAAATTTCTTAAATGAGGGGTACAATCTAGAGATATGACATGTCACGGGGTACGCTAATGAAAAAAGGTTGGGAACCACTG